GGTTCTGTGGTAAGAAATTGTTACTTTTATCACTAAAGTACCAAATACTCAAATCTTACTTGTCATTGCAGATCAAAGTTATACAAATAATTCATTAAATAATTATAGTTTCATTGTACTGATTTTTAAATTTGGAATTTTTAACAAAGTGAATTTTTTTTGTTCTTGTGTAATGCCTATAAAGAGTTTAGTTGGAATGATTTTCTTTGTTTTAAAACATGCTAGGTTATAAAATATCACTAATTTTTAGCATAAATTAATATAAGAAATATTTCTACAAGATTGATTTTTGTTCATTTTAATAGTCTTATCTGAAAAGTTATATCTTCAAAAAGTACAAAATTAAACCGAGTTTGAATACTACTGTTATTTTTACTTTATAAAGTTCTTTGCAAGACATGTATATTCGATGACGAGGAACCCACTTTGAGACTAATAATGGTTGGAGACAGCTTGAATGGGTATTGAAGAAAAACTTTAATATAAGTTTAACATAACAGCAAATGTACTGACCCTCACAAATTTAGGAATTAGCTTTTCAGAGCCGCACTGTTGGAGGAAGGAAATATATCGTTTCTCATTTTGACATTTGCTGTTATGTTAACCTTATATTAAAGTTTTTCTTCATTACCCATTCAAGCCGTCTCCAAGACATGTATATGTTTTATTTGTAGACTTGTGTAAGATATGACAAGTGATTACTATTTTCAAGCAGTATTTTTTAGTTGGACAATGTGATAAGCTGAAGGATACTGACCTTTGGTTAACTTATGTAGTTAGTAGGAAGTATACACACTCAGTGATGTGTATAAATAGCTCAAGAACAAAAATAATATAGAAAAGGATTTTTAGAAACCTTAAGTTTTTAAACTTGAAACTTTGTTTTTAATGGTATAAGTGTTTGATAAAAAGAACAGGTGAGAATTTTAAATGTTGTATAGAAACAGTTACTGTCTGATGTTTGTGTGTGCTAATTTTTACTGATACATTGATGTAGTTATTTACTTGTATGTTCAACTTTGAGAAAGCTGCTTGATTAAACATTTTAAATGTTGTATAGAAACAGTTACTGTCTAATGTTTGTGTGTGCTAATTTTTACTGATACATTGATGTAGTTATTTACTTGTATGTTCAACTTTGAGAAAGTTGCTTGATTAAACGTTTTAAATGTTTTTATGCTTAAGGAAGGTGAAGAAGATATCAGATCTGATGGTTGTGTCAAACTCCAGACTCCTAATAAGAAATGTACGATACATATACGTGCTGCTCCACTGCCAGAAGAGGTTACTAAGTTATTAGATAAAAATGGTGATATTTTAAAAGTCCAAGAGCAGTATGTGAGTGCTCTAACGAGACAGAGTAAAGAGAAAAGTGCTTTAACTGCAGAAGCTATTAAGAAGTTGTCTGAACTTCACAAAAAGATTGAAAATGCTTTTAATGAAGCTGGACCTGATTGGGCAGGAGCCACTGACCAGATATGGTCATTTGGACCAAGACGCTGTGGTCCTAATTTGCTGTTGAACAAGGTTCCTGGTTACAGAAGAGCTTCAGTGTGGTACAGTGAGTATGAAGATGTGGAAGTTTCATCAACTCTGTTAGACTACGATCATAGTTTTGTTAGTGGATTTCAGTTAGCTTCTCTTGCAGGACCATTGTGTGAGGAGCCAATGATGGGAGTTTGCTTTATTGTTGAAAAGTGGGTGATAGAAAAAGACCTACACTTAAAAGAGCATATTTGTGAAAATGACCAAAAAAGTGAAGTAGCCCAAGAATTTTCTGAAATATCTTCGGAACTTGCCCTTAATTCGAGTAATGTTACCAGTATTAGTGTGCCATTTGGACCTTTCACAGGCCAACTAATGTCCACTGTCAAAGAAGGTTGTCGACGTGCCTTTCAGAGTCAACCTCAGCGACTGATGTTAGCTATGTACAGCTGTAACATACAGGTGACAACAGAAGCTTTAGGTGAGTACAAATAATTTCAAGAGCTATAGCATCAGGTGTTTTATCTTTGTTTTTCGATGTTTATTCTCTAATTGTACAGATTATTTTATTTAATCGAAAGCTTGTTGGAAAATTAGAGACTAATTTAAGATTGCACTATTAAATCTAGGTGTCACCATCAACATTCACTTGTAATTGTAGGGAATTTTATATCTTTGCAATGTGCATTTTCAAAATTTTATGTATAAATACAATACAAATCAATTAAGTTTTTAATGGTTTTAATAAGCTAATTAAAAATGAGCATGTGTGTGTGGGTGAAATTAATTTTATTTCAAATAATGCATGACATTATGACCTTAATGATCTGATATTGACACTTTCACAGTTTTGTTGCAAATTCGTTGGCCAGCCACCTTGGCTGTTTTAATCCTGCAATTTGAGTCTAATAGGAGTTAGGCTAGTTTCAGGTTTTATGTAGTTTTATATTATTTATAACTTTTGCTCCATTAACTTTCTCGGTAAGTTGGTAAACAGTAATTATAAAACCAATGTGAAAGCCAGTGCAATGTAACTGAACTATAACAGTACTGAACTCTATTGGGTCTGCTTGATTGATTTGTTAATAAATTTATGGTTATAAAGTAATAACAATGTTTTGAAAAAAAAGAAAAATTCACTGACAGAATTGCACAATATTGTATTAGTTTAGACAGTGAGAACTCGGAAGTTTCACCTGTGGAGAAGAGATACAAAAAAAGATACACACAAGAATATGAAATACTATTAACAATTTGTAATTTCACAGTCTCAGCAGTTAAACAGTAACTCTAATGTTTTAATCGAGTAATGTACATATCGAACAGATTCAAATAGCTGATAGGTTTAAAATAATTTACTTTTTTTTTTATAAGAATTGTTTTCCTGCAGTACATACCACAAAGATAAATGACACTTAGTCAAAATATAACTGTGTTTATTTTATCAGTTATCATTTTGTGTACATTGTTGTATGTTAATATTAATTGGTAAGCACAAAACATGTAAGCATTGTCACTGTTTTGAGTTAGAAACTTGTTAAAGCTGATGATTAGCAGATATAATTTGTAACTGTTTTGAATGTAGTTCTGACAGTTATTGTTACATTAAAGGTAACATGAGTTACTGTAGTTACATCAGCCAATACTTAGATCATTCCTACAAGTTGTGGGATAGCTAGTTGTGTGCCAGATGAGTATTTTAGAGAACTCGGTTTTGTTTTGCTTTCTTGGGTATTTTTAGGGATTGTTTTGTTTAAAGTGGTGGTTAGTTGTTTGATATCCTGAACTGGCAAGTGTTTCAGCTCATTGATCTAGATGTAGGGTTTCATCTCGGCTGTTATTTTACTTCATGTAGGTGGTCTTGAGTTCACATTTTAGATGAGATTATTAATTAGCAGCATTAGAACATTTAAAGGAGTAACCTTATTTTCATATTAAAGACGTATTTTAGTCGTAACCATGATGCAAAAAATATATATTGAATTTGAGATTACTCGTGGTTTAAAATCTTGATAATTTGTTCATCTCACTTTTGGACAACAAGACCTTGCAGTACACTAGGTTATTTCATTGGAAGTGTGTTAACTTCATGGATGATCTCATAAATCACATTGTACAATAAAGTTTTAGAAATACTTTTTACTACAATTGTGAAACATATGAGATAGATGGTCTTAGGTGAATACTTGGATACTTCATTTGGTACCTTAAAAAATGACGATCGGTTAGTCACATGAAAATAAAACATTACAGAAATGTTCTGACTCTGTCCTTAAAGTTTATTAATCAGACTTTCCAATTGGATACAAGCTGGTGAAATATATTTGACAGACAGAAAGGTTGAATATAAAATTTATTGACAAATACAATCTGTCCAGCAGATACATGTGCAAATTTTTGTATTTTTACATATATGTAGTTATACATACTTTTTTTTTTCAACTAACAATAAATTAATTACTGGAGTTGATCACGGGTTACCTAAGTAGTAGTTCATTTCTAAAAATGACCAAGTTAAAGTTCTTAAAGGGTTTTAGCCTGAATTATTATTGAACTCTTTACACTGGCTAAAACCCTTCCAGTGTACAGAGTTCAATAATAATTCAGGCTAAAACCCTTCTAAAATTATTATTGAACTCTGTACACTGGAAGGGTTTTAGCCAGAATTAGTATTGAACTCTGTACACTGGAAGGGTTTTAGCTAAAATTATTATTGAACTCTGTGCACTGGAAGGATTTTAGCCAGAATTAGTATTGAACTCTGTGCACTGGAAGGATTTTAGCCAGAATTAGTATTGAACTCTGTACACTGGAAGGGTTTTAGCCAGAATTATTATTGAACTCTGTACACTGGAAGGGTTTTAACCAGAATTAGTATTGAACTCTGTACACTGGAAGGATTTTAGCCAGAATTATTATTGAACTCTGTACACTGGAATGATTTAGCTTGAATTATTATTGACTTGTGTATACTGGAAAGATTTTAGCCTGAATTATTATTGAACTCTGTGCACTGGAAGGATTTTAGCCTAAAAAAACATTGTTTTTATATTCTTCCTTATATCATTCCTTACTGATGGGGAGGGGGGGG